TAGAAAAAGCAGCACCTGCAGCTTTTGTCGTGCAGCGCACGTAGAGCGGTATGTTGAATTTCCTGCGTAGCACATCCGTTTTGCAGCGACAATCTCTTCAATGATCATTCAAGCTAGGAGACACACTTCTTTTACGCAAGCTAGCCGAAAAATTGAGTTGTATGGTATGTATCTCAATGCTACCACAATTTTAAGTTCTTCAGGACCGGGGTATCCACCTCCAAAACTCAATTTGAAGAACGGGGACGTTGTACACACGACATCGCAGGCCACGTGCTTGGTCTCCATACAATTTGCAAAGCCTCATGTGCCGGAAAGCTCCCGAAGTAAGATTTTACGTGATTTTGCAAAGTGCAAGAACTAAATCAAATCAAGAGTATTCCAGTCTTTGTTCTCGGCAATCGTCATCTACGCCATACCCCAGTGTAAAATATTGAAGCATCTTATTCTGGATTTCTTGGACGGATCCCAGGAATTTTGGGTCATGAACATTGTGTGGACACAGCCAATGCACTAACACCAAAAGCAGAACTGAAGCGCATCACCAGGGTCTTCAATGCTCCTAGAATCTAGAAGTAACCGAATGCCCATCGCGATGTTTTTGCCTCCTGGTAATGTTTGCGAATTTGCCTTGATTTCGTGCTTTGGATTAGTATTTCACACGTCAAAGGAAACTGTGATACTTGACGTTCAATAGGGCAAATCTGTGTTCGGAGTTATACCAAGGAAGAAGAACTTTGTGAAGTGCACCCCCACGTTGACAGCGCACCAGGGAAGAGCTAGAGAGGAGAGAAGCCAAGGCACCAATCCCAAGAAGTCCTTAGCCGTGCAAACGAAGTAAGCCCCAGTGACAGTGAGCACGAGCTCACAGAGCCATCATCCTTAGTCCTTAGCACAGCGTGCTGGTCAGGTCAAACCTGCAAACAACAAGTGCGGCAATGGTCGACGAACCTTGGAATCCTTAGTAGAGATAGCAAAATCGCAAATCTGTTCTGTTTCCAACAGCGAAGTGGGAGTTATCCAAGAATGCAAGACGCAAAAACATAACAGTTCAAGGCTCAACTGTATACATTCCCAACAATGTTTCAACCATACGTTATTGAACCAAAGCGTGTGAAAACGCACATTTTCAAACAAACTAAGACGCAGCATTAAAGAGCTTGAAACACTGGCTTTTTTCTTCCGCTTTCCACCCATTCCTCAACCCTGCAGAGTTCAAACGATGAGGCTTGTGAAATTTCAAAAAGTGCGAAGTGTTCGATTTGCAATTCTGGATTTTCCTGCGCCGTACGCCGTTGAATGCGCGAGGCACAAGACAGCACCACAGGTCCTTTACTACATAGCGCCGAAGCATGTTCTCTCGTCGGAACATTCTTGTAGTGTACGCCTGCTTTCCATCCGCTATTGAGCACAGCCTGTAGACAGGAGGTGTTTGTCGATTGGCACTGTCGGCGACTTGTATAACGTTGCTGCAATGAGGTCACCGCAACCTTGACGTCGACCATCACACAGACATCCTCAACCGGAACCTTCACGGTCGCAACATCAGTATTGTGTTGTTTGCCGGATCATCTTCTTTAAGCTGCCCTAGGTGAGCCAAACCACCATAACGCTAACGACGACAAGCCATGACCCCGGAATGCTGCCGACACTTTCTGCAATTGAAACCTGCAGTTGAGATCTGCTTAGCCGCGCTGGCAGGTAGCCGTGTCCCTATTCCGAACGCCACAGTGGTCAGCGCAGGAGGCAGGTTGCACGACATTGGCTGAAACATTTTGCAAAAATGACGAAAGACTGCCCTGAGATATCTCATGTATTCCGCAGCAGTTCAAGTCGCAGCCTCAGCTTGAGAGGTCTGAGTTGTGCTCTGCTATTGAGATGAAGCAAGGTCGTGCCCAAATCTCCGTGCAATGCACATCCTTGGCAAAGGACAAGAACTCGGCCACGAGGCAAGGAGTATGAAAAGGCAAATAAGGGGCGTCAAGCAAGAAGGAGCGAGGCTTGAGAAGTTTCAGGTGCCAGTTTGTACGCCGATCTATGACATCAACGTACCGGGGGTGCAGCCACTTAGTGCAGGGCATGCGCAGATGGTTCTGAACTACTGTAGCTGAATTTTGATATCAGATTGTAGAATCTTGTGCTATTCGAGGCATACCTGGCATCGTTGACACATCCACAAGTTTTTTCCTTCGCCTATGGCAAGGCCTTGCTCAGCGGTTGGAAGTTGAAATAGCTTGCTTCCTTGTCCTATCACCCGACTTTCTTAACACGTGCCAGATCGGAAGTTACTTTGATGGTGTGCGGTCGTACCTTGACGACAACAATGGCACAGAGGCGGGACAAGATATGGGTTGCTGAAGGCTGCACGCACAAACTAACATCTTCAAAGGCATTCCTGGCATCTTTGGAGACATTCACAGCCAGCTGCCACCTTAGCCAATCGTAGAGGGCGCAGTACGAAGAGTTCATTGCGTGGTGCAGATGTGCAGTTGGCATGAGTTTCACCTCACCTCCGTCTTTGCTTCGTGTCCCCATCTGGGACATGAAGCGGTTTCCAGGATTTCGGGTCACTTTTCGTGGTCCAGGGCCAGAATTTGGCAGGGATAATGGAATGCACAGCTTCTTGTTTGGCCGCATCCTGAAGGGTAGGCTGTTCAAGGCATGAGAGCGGAGGTAACTGGCCGATGCCTGACCACCAAGCCATCGCAACACTTCAACGGCTCGGCACACGGACCGGTCAAGAACAAGCGTAGCGAGTGACACTGTGAGTTCAATGAGGCTGGAGCGAGCGAGAATTTCAGAAGTTTCAATCAGAAACCACGGAACGCGGGAAGGCATCATTCAGCAACAGCTTCCACCTGCTAGTCAGGAGAAAGTAAGGTGTTTATGTCAGGAATCATAACATGTTCCTGTCCATGACTAGCAGAGTATTCACGACATGTTACAATGCCATCCGGGTATTGAGACACTGCACCAGGAGCTTTCAGAGTCGTCAAAGAGATGGCGTCGCCGCTTCATAAATTATTTGCGCGCGAATAATACGGCGCGAATTGGGTGAAATTTCCTTTTTTCGTGAGACCATCCTTGAATGATTCGGAGGCAAAAAGCATGTTCACGTGCGCTGCTGGCACACCAAGGACCCAGGAGAAGCCCAGCAGTCCTTTGAGACGCATGTGCAATGCCACTCGATATTCCGGGGGCTGAAATGAAGCGCCTGAGAGTTTTCTGTGAGCTACGATGACTTGCGTATCCTTCCTCAAGTGCATGGTTTAGATGTGTAGTTCGGGCCATTCTCAAAGTCATCTCTTGATTTTGCAGCGGAAGAAGCCAGTGGCGACTTGGGCAGAGGGAGCGTGCAACGTTGTTGAGTGTCCTTCTTGCGGCGAGAAATGAAAGTTCTGTATTTTGCTGGAAGCGGTAGCATGAGCCCCGCGTACCCACAAGAGCGCAACTGGGTTCTGCGGCATTGACTTTAAATTCAGGCTCCAGCGAGCCCTTCGCCTTCCTGGGATCAGCGCAGCAATTGACGGTTGTGGTTTATGGGCCCCAGCCCCAGCCGTGGACCGCGAACGTTCTGCACTTTTGGATGCTGCCACATGCAGGGCGACACCAAACGCCATCTTCATCTTCCATTTCCTGGTAGAGAACAGTTTGTCAGGAGGTGCCAGATGGTTCGGACTGTAGAAGCTGGACTCCCTTGCTTCACACATCAAGGCTTGATTGCGACAACTCAGAAAGATGTCTTCCCACTCGACCCGGAGCTGCAGCACTTGTTAGTAGTGTTAGTACTTGATCGAAGTGCTATCAGAAGCTTGAGATTCTGGAGTATGCGCAGGAGCCCGCGGAGAACCGTGTCTATCTTGCCCTTGTGGCATTGCTCGCGCTCCTCTTACTCTTTATGGAGATCAGAAGGACATCGATCAGTTTGTGTGGCATGATGTTGGGTGGTTGGCTGGCGTGATACAGCACCTTGGAGGATTCTCCACTGCCCTGCTGCTTGTACTTTTGAAGAGGTGCGGAGCCGCGGAAAGTCAACCCAATCCAAAGCAGAGCCTTGAAAGTTGTACATGGGGCGGCTTGCTGTAGGATCGGACAAAATGTTCTCTGTGGACACTTTTGTTCCTGTCCCAGCCTGAAGCAGTTTCAGCTCTCATCAAGATTCATTGAAGTTTGAAGTAGGGTGGCTAGGGATTAAGGCTACCGATTTTTTTTTGTCGAGGCTTCTGCCAGCCCTGATCTTTGCCATCATGGGCCTTATGGTAGTCCAGGACACCTTCACAGGCAACCTCCTTCAGGCCTACTCGCAAACTGTTCAACCTGTTCAGCTCAATGCTTTCCATGCGTGTAGGCTGGGCGAACTTCTGATGAAGACTTGTATGTGCCTGGTCTACGTGGGCCATTGTTTAGCTGCTAGTGAGGAGCATAAGGCACTCAAGAGATCGTTGCGTGCAAGGATTATTTGTGGCTTCGAAGCAAGATGGACCGTAGTCGTCTGGCAGGAGACTTAGGATTCCGGCCACAATGTCTATCATGGCAAATTGCCTTCGTGCAATGGCAAGCTGGGTGATGCGCATTGATCTAGGCCATCATTGTGATCACGCTCTTCTTGTTCAATGTTTTGTGCCCTGGCTGCACGGTCTGAACTGGGTATCAGAAATCTGGTATATGTTCCTGCTGAGGATGTTGAAATATCTGCTACTGCACTTTCCGCAGCTTCTTTCCGCGACGCAGATTGTGCTCAGGCCCCAGGTTGCACATGCGCATCGTGTCCCCGTTTGTGAAGCACAACAGTCATGGCTTGCTTCCAGGGAATTAAGCCCCGCCTAAGGAAGAAAATTGCAGCACCATTGCTGACAGTCTTGCTCATGGTCTGCTTGACCATCTTCTCCTTTGGAGTCTGCACCCAAACCGACATCAGATGTCGAGTCGGAATAATGGTCTTTGGCAAGACCTCTGCGGCCGAGGTTTTCTTGTACACAGTTTATGGAACCAGCTTCGGCACGTTTCAAGATGTTGCCTGATTCTCTGAGCATCTGCAAGTGCATAGCAGGCCTAGCATTCTCACCTTGGGTCGATTCAGGCCTCGACCTGGCTGAATGTTGTGCTTTGGTCCATGGGCTACATCAAGAACTGGAAAGCCTACTACGAGTTCCAGGCCAATCCTCAGAAAGCTCAGCAGACCTACATGCCTTGCGTCGATGACGTAGTTCTGCACTTTGAGACTCCTGCTGACCTGCCGCAGCCTGCGTTGTGGACTTTCAGCATCTCTATTGCGCTTTGCGTCATTCAGCTGACGCTCAACATTCTACCCGCCGCTAGCTTGGGTTTATAAATCAGCTCGGAAGGAGTTTGCATGGTTTGCAAATGAGTCAAATCAGCTCTGCCTTGGGTGTTGTTGTTGTGAGGGTCATCTCCGGCAAAAGCTGTGGAACCAGCAATTGGAATTCAGATCCAATTCTTTGTGCCGATTTTGAAGCACCTCTAGTTACGCCGAGCGTGCAGGAGCTATTAGGGGAGCTTTTTTTTTTAAATTTTTATTTCACCTGACAATAACTCAGCAGATGCTGGTCCGCAAATGAGGTTTTCCTGTGCGTGCCGTAGGACGCGGAAGCGGGTCTGGCTTGCAGTAGGTCTTCGAAGCCCTTTCGCGGAAGCAAATCCCGAAATCCAACCGAAAAACCTTCGCGGAAGCAGCGGCGGAAGGCGGAAGCAAAAAGACTACAGTATATACTCGTGGAAGGCCTTCGCGCAAGGGATAGCTTATGTAATGAAATCATATAGGAACAAAAACCATGGCTCTGGCTTGGATTAATTATGCTTGACTTGCTGTGTCAAACCCGTCGCCTGTGAAACTTACCCCCCAGGCTGTCATCATGCTTTCTCACAAGAAGGAAGCGGACCTTGTCGAAAATTACAGCCGCTCAGATGGCCACTAGCTGCCCTATGTCTGTGCTCATGGGTATCCTCTAATGTTGCCACTGCTTGCAAGGATCTCAGTCCGGAGCTAACTCCAGCTCTATTGACTGACTGGCAGGTTATCACTCTTTCTGGGCCAGCGAGCGCAGCAAGAATGTGGGCCAGAAGAGCTTGAATGCAGCTCTGGTAGGTGCCAGACTTGAGTTTGTGGAAGTGTTCTCATTTCGGCCCTCCGTCCGTTGCTACGCAGGTTGGGATTTTACAAACCCGAAGGAACCCAAAGAGGCCGCTGCGCAAGACATCTGCAATTTTGGATTCCATCAGTCTTGTTGAGCACCACCGGCATCATGAAATCTGACCAGGTTTTTGACAAGTGACGCTAGGGAAAGAGCTCCAGTGGGCAATGGTGTAAAGCACGGCAGTGTCAGGCCGTCAAAAAGGTTTTGTAGTGTGCATGGCAAAAAGGGGTTGCTCTAGGGTTTTACAGTTGCAGCTTTAGCATACGTGATTCCCATGCAACGTCTCACCTGAAAGGCGTTCAGGTAGGTTTGAAACCTGCCCTGGCGCCCTTTTTAGCACGCCGGAGAGCCTTGGTTTCCCGCAGCAACTGCGTGAGCTTTTCAAACCCGACGTGGCAAAATCGAATTCAGATTCTTCGTTTGTCTTAGAAGCTTCGCTCTTATTGCTGCGCAGTGTCCTGGTGATTCCGTGGCAAATCTCCTTCGACATACAGCCTGGACTGCTTGTTCACGCCCAAGTCATTTGCTGCCGTATTTGCTTAGGCAGCAGTTTATTCCATGAGCAAGGCCACGGTGGTTGACATTCTGGTGGATGTCATCTTTGCTTGTGATCTTGCACCCCATTGCATAGCATAATCATAGCATTTGCAGCTCTGCAGATCTGCAAGCCTTGAGGTATTGTGCTTTCGCACAGCCTTTGTGGATGCAGACGGGACAATTGACACGGAGGGGGGCTTAGAAACTGTTGGTCAGCTTGCAACTGTAATGATATTCCATGCTCGCTAGATTTGCCAGACTTTGCCAGTGAAGCAACAATGACTCGCAATTGCAGCGTAGGGACCGTAGCAAGAAAGCAGATGAATCTCTGCTTGAATCAGGTCGGATGGCACATCACAGGTCGCTACTTGAGGACACTCTTGCAGATACAGTCAAAGTGAAGCTGGTGTGACCGGCCAGAGCTGCAGACGCAACAAGGACATGGTTCACCCCAGATTTTCTGTCAACGTTCCCCGTGGACCGCTGTGTCGAGGCTGTCGAGGGAAAGCTCCAACATAACATTTGGATATTGTAAGAAGATGTCGCGACATTGCGAGGCTATGACCGGAAGCGGGGGCGAAGCGCGTGTCCTCAAGATGGTGTGGCTCCTGCAATGTTGCCAGATCAAGCACGTGGAATTGGCATGTCTTTGCTGAGATACGCATGGTGCGCTTGGTGCGCCTGCTGAAGTTGGCACGTATGCTGAAGATGGGTTCGGACCCTAGTTTGATCAGGCTTGTGCATTGTGTTGATGGGTGCTACTACTAGCAACTACTATGTGCTGAATCATGATTTGGCCACCGTTCCCTTGCAAGCTGGCCTCAGGCCGTCTTATTCAACGGATTGAGGCCTGCAAAGTGGTTGGCAAGCTGAGGTAGATTCAGTTGCATCCTGACTGCCTGAGGATATGCTGGACCTGTCGCATCTCACGCTGAAGCTGGGCTTTGCGCAATGCTGTAACTTTGACAAACTGATTGCTGCGGCAGCCCAGCCAGGTGCTTGAACCTTGGGGCAAAGCTGACTGTGATGTCACACTTTATGGGTTGCTTCTGGTGGGCTGGCTGGCTTAACCAGTGTTGCCCCAGACTGCTCCCTTGTTTGGTAGTCATGGTGCCAGGTTCTTTGTTTCTACGCATACCGAGTCCTCTGTTGGCCAATGTGAATCTGGCCTTCTTGGCTGCAACCAGACACTGTACAGCCCCGAGCTTCCTGAGCAAGAGGCAAGGCCGTCAAGCTTGTTGAGCTGCGCAAAAACTCAGGCCGGCAACGACATGGTGGTCTGAGATCAACATTGGGCCGGAGGACAAATTCGACCAGTGCCCGCCAGATCATCTTAGGGCTGCAGAAGAATCTGCTCTGAAGGTACATAGCCTCCCTATACTGGGCCTTCACCACCATGACGACAGTAGGCGATATGTTCCTGCTGGCTTGGTTTCTTTTTAGCCGTGCATCAGCCGTTACGCGTAAACACGGGCCCGAGTGCCTTGGCATCAGACGTGATACCCTTTGGCGCCCAGCAAGGGAATGATTGCTATCCCAACCGATTAGCTAACAGCAGGATTTCACAGAGAAAGGCCAAAGCAGGCTGAAGTGGAGCTGGTGGCATGGGGTCCTCCTAATTTGTTGAGCGGATTGTGCGGAAGCGTGTTCATTCACAGCTGTGCTTCTACTTGCAAAGTTGTGTCGCGACACAAAGACACGGTATTCATGGACATGGGTGCAGGTAAAGGTCAACAAATCGCTTGTTGTCTAAATTTGTTGGCATGAGTTGGCATTCGATGCGTTAGTGTGCTTCAGTCAACCTTGGCCTGCTTAGCTTTCCGTTGTGCCTGTGTGTCTGCTAGGAAGGCTGCAGTGATGCGCCTGCCACAACAAACCTCAGCATTTGATTCATTTGGTCCGGAGGGCTTATAGTCGTGCTTGGACACCGGAAGCACGCATGAAAGCTGACTCTCATGACACGGGCGCTTTGGCTGGCGAAGTCTGCATGGGCAGCAAAGAAGGCCTATTTGCAGACGCAGAGATGAACAACTCCGGTTGTGGGTCAGCAATTGAAACGCGGAACCACCAGCCTGACACTGCATTTGCGCTGGCCATTGTTCAGCTCGCACTTGTCAACGCTAGGAAAGTGCTAGAAAGAAGCTTCCACTTCCTACAGCATGGATTTTGCTACCGCGATCGCGCAGGTTATGGTGATATACACCCAAGAAATGATGGAGAACGGGCCAACTACCCAGTTCACGGCAGTGAGATCCAGCAAGCATTCCAAGAACATCTGCCGGGAGTATGGATCCTTTTTACTGACCCTATAGACCAACAATGCTTTGGGGAAGTGACATTGGGCCTACTGCTTGTTTGTTTGAGATTCGTCTGGACTCAGGTCTATGCAATTGTTGCCATGATCTTTGGCGCGACCATGTTTGGCGCAGACCTCAAACACATTCAAAGACACGCTTTGGGCAGCCTGAGGCCGCTGTTGCTGCTCTTTTTGTGCTCCCAGGTTACATCATCGGCTCCATTGCTGCGTTGGCAGGGCAGGAACGTGGCATGGAGGCCAAAGTCCTCCCGGGATCCTCCGGAACATTCTGCAAAGATCTACGCAGACTTCACAAAGAAAGCTCCAGAGGCTCTCACGAAGAAACGACTTTCCCTGGTCCGCCACTTCTGTGAAGAGCAACGTATCAGCCAAAACAAGGCTTCCCGCGCCACACCACAGATGCGTGCGCTGCTTGATCTGCTTGCTGCCCATATTATCTGTAGGTCAAAGAGGTGATGAGGCACTACCAGCATCGCCGGCATTGTTTGACAAGTGAGATTGCATGCCACTTGTTGCGGAAAGTGCACCGCAGGGACTTTGCCAGGTTCTTCTACCAAGAGCGTTCGCCCTTCAACGAGACGGCTTTGATGTTGGAACTACCAAACTGGCTGCGCAAGAAGGTGTTTGGACCAGACTTAGCAGATCTATCAATGCCAGGCATGCCTGCCAGGTGTCTGCGCATATACACCGTGAGGCAATTTCCAGGATCGGACTTTTTGCAGGCACGTTTGGGGTCCGCTGTTTTTTTTCAGTGAGAGCTTTTGTCTTGACAGGTCCGCAGCAAGCGGGCCTGGAAAGCGGACCGTTGCCGGACTGGCCCAAGCCTGAGGAGATCTGAGAGCCCGATGACCCATCCCTAACCATCCCGCCCTAACGCATGTACTCCGACCTGTACTTAAGATTTGGGGGTACTTATAGTACAACCCGAACATTAGGGGGGCATATAATAGGATCCTGTTCACATTCTCAAAATCGAATCAAACTGGATGAAATCGAATGGAAAACCGATTAACTGTAATTAAGCTGGAAATGATATCGTGTTAAGATCAATTAAAAGCAAATTAAAAAGCAATTTCAATCTAATCAACATCTAGATATAACCTTGACAAATCAAAGTAGAATCGTAATGAAACCAACTAGAATCTATGTACAATCTAATCGAAATCTAAGTAGAATCTGACATAACCTGACTAACATCAACTGAAATCTAATTGTCGCCTATATAGTCCCTTATACAACCACCTCTAAGGAGTTTAGACTAGAGCTCATACAAATTCCTTTATAGACATAGAAATTACATCAAAAACAATCAACATCTAGGAAATCAAGGAGGTCCCTAAACCACCCCTCAGGTCAGAGGATCTTAGCCGTAAGTCACTTTAGTCTTTGGGGCAGATTCCGAATTTGGAATTCTGGCTGGGGGGCTCGTATTTTAAAAGAGGGGGGTTAAGCATTAGGGGAAGCGATTCAGAAGCAAGGAACACTTTCCAAGAAGAATCTTGTTTGTTGACAACCTTTCAGGTTCGTGTCCTGGACCATGCGCATCCTGGAGCCGCAGGCTCCTGCAAAGGATCTCCAAAACGGCCGTCGTGGATTCAACGCAGGCGGTTTGTGCTGGAGAGCTTGTGATCAATGCAGAGGAAAGTTCCGTGGCTGGCCACTGAGATTTGCGACGCTAGTCGCCAGTGCCGACGGCACGTGCAAGTGCCTTGATGGCCACCGCATATCATTATGTTGTTCAGCGGCTGTCTGCACAGGCCATCATAGGCCTTAATGCTGGAGCATGCAGTGATTAAGGATTCCTTGATTGTAAGCTCCTCCATTCCCGAGTTCGCCAGGTGCAGGAGCTGTTCTTTGTGTTCGACGGGGAATGTGAGGCGGGAAGCTGGAAGTAGTTGGAAGAGGTATGCCCCATTCAGGTAGCCCGAAGTAGCCAAGCAACTAAACTGCCTAACAATTTCAACTTAACTAGTGAAGGAAGGGTCAAAAAGAAACTAGTTGAGCACGAAAGTGTAGCTGCAAGCAGCAAAGCGCAGAGGGAATTGTGAAGTGAAACGTGTCAATTTCACAGTGACTGCAAATACAAGCCCCTCCGGTGCCTTCCTCAGGTCCTTTCAGTATGTCCTGTCAAGCAAGTGTCAGTGAGCGATCCAGTGCAGGCATTCTACCATCGCAACCTTTGGAGGCAAAGGCCAAACGGAAACGGTGGACACTCAGACACTGGAGGTGCGACGGGCCGTGCAAGGATACAATTCTTCGTGGTCAGACTTTGGAAGAAAGTATCTGATGCCGCCGCCATTAAGTGATCAAGCAAACATGGCCGTAGTTGCATCGAAACGAAAGCGGAAGATGCTTGGATCACGCACACCATATCTGATTTCATCTCTACGCAAAGCTTGTGTGAGCCGATTTGTACACATTTTTCATTCTTGGTGTATGCTCCTTCCAGGGTGTCCAGACACGCTATCATAGCCCTCACCACCTTGCAGTGAGCTACCTAACCACATGCACAAGCGACGTGCTACTTGATGGATGGCTCTGAGCGCTCACCAAAGTGGTCTTCACTGCTTCAGTTCTTGTTGGGTGGCATCATGCCTTGTTCAGCGGAAAGCCAGCGCTCTTGCTGCAACTTGGCTGAGAACAAGCTGTGATCACTTCGTAATACAGGTGAACAAAAGTGAGAAAAGTAGGGGCCCTGGCTTGAGCTGTCGGGTTTCAGGCCCTCGGAACGTGCAAGAAGCATGCGTCCGTGCGCTGGAACTCCTGGTGCCTTGCCCAGCATGCCCAGAAAGCTGAGCTTGTCAGGACCTGTACGTCTGAGGCAACTGACATCCCGGCTCTGGAGGAGCCCATCCGCCGATGCAGAGAGCAAGGTGGTGAAGCTTCCCGTCGCTTGTTGGGTGCCTGGGTGAAATTCCACTGCCTCCGCCAGACGTGGCCAGGCAAATTACATGTGCCCCCTTTCCCAGGCGATTTCTTGATCCAATTCTCTGGCTCACTGTCCGAAGGACAGCCGTCGCCTCAGTTCCAGTACTGTGAATACGCTGCTGTTGAGCAATTACTTGCGTGGTTGCACCAGTCTGCTGCATGTGTGCGCAATCTGGCAAAGGCAAGTTGTGTGGTAAGGTTGCAGGCTATTGACGAGGTGTATGCTGCAGAGGCCTTGAGCAGACCGCCCCCGTTGAGTCTGGATGCCTTGGAAGGGCTCTGGCTTGCAGCTGCACCATGCCGCCTTGATGCAGCGGCAATAATGCTTCGTGCTTGCTCAACAGGTACTGGAGGTGCTGTTGGATGTTAGTCAGCCATTTCAGTCGTTTCAGTCTTTGACTCAGATGTACCATGAGCCAAGGCAAGATCTTGGTTTGGCGTGGAGACATTACCCAGCTGGCAGCTGACGTAGTGGTGAATGCTGCCAATGAGGATTGACCTTGTGACTTGTTGAAGCTGCCAAAGACCTCGTGATGCCACGGGCAAGGAGGGCCTGGGCTGCTTTCAGCCGACCCACCGCTGCAGCTTTCCCAGTCTGAGCTTTATGCAAGGCCGCAAGGCTTTGGAGCAGCCATGTGTCCAAGGCATTGACAATGTGCTGCACCGTGGGGCTGGTCCTAGACTTCGAAGAGAGTGCCGGAATTGCATGGAGCGGCGACCAGGGAAGCTGATGCCCGGCACGTGCCATGTCGAAGGTTTGGCCTTTCTGCATGAGTTGGAGCTTTTAATTCCGACGTTGTGAGCAGCTCATTCAAGGATGCCGCTTCTCACGAAGGCTTACCACCTCCCTGCAAAGGCTATGCTGCATGTCACCGGTCCCCAGATTTCTCCGGGATACTGCCTCAGTCGCAACAGCTGTGAGCAGAACTGGCTGGAAGGGTGTGACTTGGAAGCGCCAAGGTTCTCGTCCTTCCAGCCTATCGCACGAACAACTTCGGCTGGCCTATGCAAACTGCCTGGATGCAGCTCGTGATGCTGGCCTACGTAGTGCTGCTTGACAGCAAATCAGCAAGCCCTTGCCAGTGGCCTTCTGTCGTGTACATTGCGGTGGTGTTTGATTTTGATCACCGCGAATCGTGTGTGCGTGTGATTGTGTGTGTGAGTGTGTTGTTGCGCACGCCACTGTTTTGCAGTGAGGTGGGTTGTCTCCACTTGAAGTTTGAGCTAAATTTGAGCCCTGCTGCCACAGTTAATGAATTTCTTGTATCAGGGTGAAGCCTTGAGCGGCGGACTCTGAACAATGAGGGGCTTAGAACTGCCGAGCATTGCCGAGCATTAGGCTTCAGGCCGAGTCAGATTTTCGCCTGGAAGCTCACCTGTGGTTCTAGCGGTTTTGATCTTCGGAGTGCGCTGTTGAAGTGTGCCAGAGCAGAGCACAGCAGGTTGCGCGCCTTCTTGCCCATGGCCGCAAAGTTGTTGCAGCACTCATCTCAAATTGCATGAATCCCCACCCACTTCTTCCACAGAGCCCAGAATTATATAGGCTGTCTTTGGCAATGCACGGTGCAGCCTAAAACCATGCACCGGGTTACCGCCAGTACTTCTTTGTTTGAGAAGTACTTACTTTAGAGATGTCATCCTACAGCCTAA